GTCTGCTGGCTCAGAACTCGGGAGGCCGCAGGGAGCCTGCACGGCCTTGCGCGCCCCACCCCACCCGCGACCCCCCGGCCGCGGCGTCCCAGCGCTCCGCCCGGCCGGGCTGCCAAGACCCTCAGGTTCTCGGGCCGGTGGGTGCACAGCCTTCCCGAGGGTGCCCGTGGGAGCTGGGGCGCAGGGGACCTGCAGGTGAAGGCCAGGAATGTTTGTCTGCCTGGGGCAGGCGCAGGCCTCCCTTCGGGATGCACCTTAACCCGTAACCCCCCGGCTGACTGCTGAATACCCTGCTTGCCAGGTCCTGCACAGCCGTTTTACAGGTGAGGAAACATGTTCAGAGAGGTTTTGAGTGATTTCCTTAAAGTGACACAAAGGCAACCTTCCAATTAGATAATTCCACATCCAAACCCACTTTTCTTTGGTTTGGGATTGATCTGGGGACTCCAGAGTAAGAGGCTCTGCCCCTTGCAAGCAGAGACCCCAGCTTACAGGCCAGGAACTTGTCTGGGCTTTTAAGGGGGCCTCTGCACAGCTGGCCCCGAGAAGCAGGGCGGCTCCGTCTGGCACTGTCTTGCTCAGTTGCCCAGAGGAGGATCCTCTCCAAAGACTGGAGGGAGGACCGGCCGCTGCATCTGCCTGGGCAGCAAGTGTGCGCTGCCCAGCGGTGCTGCTGGTGCCCGGAGATGAACCTGTGGCATTATTTCACCTGAGGCCAAGAGGAAGCAATGACAAAACCAAGGTGGGGCAGGAAGGTCCCGGCGTAGGGACCTGGAGAGAGAAGTCCTTTTGCTACATCCACCCCGAAGCACCTCCCTCCCCTTTGTCCGGAGAAGCGGGGCCCTCGCCTGCCCTGGCAGTGCCACCAGACGGCTGCCAGTGCTGCTGCTTCAGACCTTGAGCTCCCTGTGGACAGGGCTGGCTCTCTGGAACCGGTGAGCCTGGCTCTGGGCTGAGTATCTGCTGAAATGAGAACTCAGATTCAGGGTCAGCATCTCGGGAGGGAGGGGTCCTCCGTCCTCACTGGAGTGCCCACCTGCTCAGTTCTGCCCTGGGCTGCCTCTGTGTCCCCCCATGCCCGGTGCAGTGCTGTCCCCTTCCAGGATTCTGGCAGGGAGGCCTCTGCCCACCATGTGCCGCTTTGTGAAAGCAAGCGTGTCCTTCCCGCCAGGGCCTGCCCACAGGCCGGCTGGAGGCCGGTGCCCCCCAAAGTATGTTGCCTCTAGGGGCCTGGAATAGTGCAGAGTAGCCCCCAAAGAGGCACGTCTGTAATCCCTGGAAACTGAATGTGACGGTTTGTGGGAAGATTTTCTGAATGTGCTTAAAAGGATTTGGGGATGGGAGATTATCCTGGACTGTTGGGTGAGAGGCAGAGAAGAGGGTGTGACCCGGAGCCCGAGATGGCGGGGATGCGGCCACACGACGGGGCTCAGCGTCACCAGGCGGGAAGGGCGAGGACAGGCCGCCTGGGAGTCTTGGCCTCGTTGTCCACGGTCCCTGCGCGGTGCCCCTTCCTGACCGTCCTCACCGACCTGCGCGGATGGCCAGCCCTCAGGGCCCTG